CGGCTTAACACCTCTTCAAAGGAGATGGCTAAGAAGATCAACACTGCATTCGGAACAGGTACTACTTGCGATCGGATGGTACGCTTTTGGTACAAGCGCTGCGCTGAATCCGGATTCTAGCACGCGAGATGTGGAGAAGGCTCTTTGGCAATCCTATACAACCATTGATCGCCACCTTAACTCGATGAGCTACCGCAAAGTGATATCGCGATGGACGCCTCACGCCTTGACCAACCATGACCGGGCTGCTCGTGTCAGCATTTGTCAAAGTTTGCTGCTCCGCCTACACCGGCAGGACTTTTTTAAGAAAATTATCACTGAAGATGAAAGCTGAGTACGCTACGAAAGTAACACATGCCACGACTTTTGCCTTCTTCGCGGCGAAAACCTACCAGTCCAGCCGAAGCTCGATCCACACGGTTGGAAGCTGATGTCGATCTTTTTGGACTCGCAGGGAATGATCTTCAACGCCAATCATTACAGGGATCAGCTCCGCAAGCTAACCGATGCTGGCGAATAAAACGGCCGAAACGACTCGGCCTCCAACTTCTACACGATAACGCTCGATGTCACTGCGAAAAGTTGACGCGTGAGCAACTGGTGGAGCTAGGATGGTCTACTGTATTCCATCCACCGTCCAGCTCAGACATTACAACTTCGGATTACCACTTGGTCCGAGCGCTTAACCCTCCGAGCACGGAAACATGGTCACCGGTCCCTATGTCATTTCTGACCCCACATCGATATCCTGCTACTACACAGCAAGGCTCGAGCTCGAGGTCCTCACTGACACTGTACTAACACAATGCTATGGTCTGTTTTTCGAAAGGTGATGCCTGGGAGGTTGGCCTGCCTCGGCGCGTGGCCTGGTGGGGATCCAACGCGAGCTACGTATTTCGTGCGACGTTGTCACGGTCTCAATGCCACTGTGTGTCTCTTTCCATCGTCTGGCACTTCGGCACGAGAGCCTCTCGCTCGGACGCTCGGTATACCAACTTCCTTCTTTACCCTGCGATTTGCACGTGTAGTGTTTAATAACCTACGTATTAATTTAGTCCCCTTTTAATATGTTGCACAATATTTGGATACAATACATTCTTTCAAAAGAAATAAACTTTTTCTTATTCATGTGTTTTAACTTTTGACGTGTGAAAACGTTCAGCGTCTCGTCAACATGCTCCGCCATTTCCAGACAATGGATGATTGACAGGCGCGTGCTGAACGCAGTCCCCGCTCCTTGAGATTGTAGGTAGGTCCTTCTCGAGAGGTTTGTAATACGTGCGTTGGAGACAGACGACCGTAGACGAGGACGCACGTCGACGTTCGCACGTCATTGGCCAAGACGCGAAGAGTGAGAGAGACACAAGTGCCGTAAGTCTCTCGCGATCGCGGCAACACTGCGAAAACTCGGGCCTACCTCCCAGGCATCATCTTTCGAAAAACAGACCATAGTATGGCTCGAGCTCAAGGCCCTCACCGACACTGTACTAACAATACCAGTATGGCTCTAGCTCGATCCACCGACACCATGTATACTAGTGTTGTTAAAATGAGCTTCGAGTCTTGAGCTTTAAGAGCTCGAGTCGCAGTTCAAACCCTAAAGGCTCGAACCCTCAAGGTTCGAAGCTTGAGTCGTGAAAGCTCCAGTCTTTAACGCTCGAGCCTGTAAGCTTCAAGGCTCAAGTCGAATAAATTGTATGTAGTGAAGTAATGTACAGAACTCGAATTTGCGAAGCCTTAAAACTTAACCTAAAAGTTTTCAGTTTTGAACTCTAATATTACACGAAACTCAAGATTTTAAAGCTTTAAGGGGGAATGATACAAAAACGTCCAGAAAAGCGTGTTTTTTGTAAATTCACAAAACATTGCTTCATAAAATGTTGATACTTTTAGTAGAACTTTCTTTTTCTCATATCATATTATTTATTGTATGGGTAATTTTAATGAAATAATTGATTCAAATAATTATACAATTTGCGACACAGCAAAGCTCCTAGCTCAGCAAACAATTGATACTAAGAAGGGGAAATAAAATATGAAATAAAATAACCATTGAATAATAGACGGAATAATACATTGCTAAAAATTTGTCTGTAATGTTCGAAATGTGGTATTACTGACTGAAAACATACTCTTACGCCATGAGGGTCATAGATGACCGGCAGCAAGATTAATGTACTTAAGATTGAGTCTTTAAGGCTAAGATTTATAGCTTCGAAGACTCAAGCTTTATACATCACTAATGTATACAATGTAATGATTAGCTGGTTCCACATTACATTTGGATTTTCGTGGTTCTTATTACACTAACTAGAATAAAAATCTCGTGAATTATAAAACAAATTATATTTATTAATCAATACTTCTGCAGCGTCTTGGCCCGGTCGTTCGCATGTAAACAAACATCGATTGCTATGCGATTTACGCGACAGCTCCGTCACTGCGTGCATGTCGCTCTCGAGACAGTGTGTCCCCACTCCTGACTCTGTCACTGTGTGCATGTCGTTCTCGCGAACACGTGACCCAGGGACCGTACTCGGAGGGTTAAACGACATTTGCTGGTCAAGAAATTCGACAACTACGTCACCCACAAAAATGATATTGGTGACTTTATTGAATCCCTGCCCCGATCTTTCTGGGAGAAAGGCATTCAAAACTTGCTGAGCAGACGGCTGAATGTTATTGATAATTTTGGTGATTATATCGTAGAATAAAAATGAAATTTTCATAGATAGGAAATAAAAATAAAACTGGTTGATAATAGCAAGGACTTATGGGACAGCCCAATATAACAGCAAATATGTTTGTTGAAGAAACACGAATACAATTCCATTCATAGGTACGGTAGAATATTCTCAATTGGCGCCGTTCAACTATAAGTACTGTCTTCATTTTAAAAATAAATAAGTTTTACAAAAATTGTTAAATATGGTTTCGCATGAAAGGATTTTATTCTTGATTTCGGATTCGACTTTGCATTCTTGGATATATTCTTATGTTTCCATTCTTTGGATATATGTATTTCCCTATTCACTACTATTCATTACTATTTAATACTATTCGCTACTGTTCGCTATTATTCGCTACCATTCACTATATTTGCTCTCGTGTATCACGCATTTCTCCATACACTGATTACTTCATCCTCCAATTCCCACATACACCTACAGATACTCCCTTTTATTTAACCAGTGGTGTATTCATTTCAGCATTTTAGTTCATAAAACAGCCGGCAGAAGCTATGGTATGATCCATTTGTCGCAACAGACACGTTTACAATAAACTCTTGGAACTATTCGTTTACACCAATAAGAAATAGGAATTAACAAAATTGTCCATATTGGATCACATCAATTTCGTCAATACAACTACTGAACCCTTCATTTTTTATTTAATTATTCTAATTAAAATTCTCCTTATGACCTTAATCGTAAAAATTCAACCTCTGGGACCTCGACATAAAACAGCTTAGTAGCTTAATTAAATCTGTGTACCTAATCCCTTTTTAGATATACCTAAAATGTAAGTTAATTAAACTGTTCCTAGTAGTTTCATTAAATCTGTGTACCTAATCCCATTTTAGATATACCTAAAATACCACTACTGAACCCTTAAATCTGAAGTATTTAATTATAATTCTCCTTATGACCTCAATCGTAAAAATTCAACCTCTGGGACCTCAACATAAAACAACTTAGTAGTTTAATTAAATCTGTGTACCTAATCCCATTTCATGTATACCTAAAATGCAAGTTAATTAAACTGTTCCTAGTAGTTTAATTAAATCTGTGTACCTTCCGGTGTACCTAAGGGTTCGGTAGTCGTTAATGAACATCAATCGTAGGCCCTATTTCAGAAGAAACCTGGTTATTATATTACAGTGTTCCTTCTTTGATAAATCCCTTGACTTAGGTACCTCGAAATACCAGAGTTGCCTATAAATTTACAATTAAACATCCTACGTCATGGGATCCCTGTAAATCGTGGTTATCGCGGAGACGACTGCCTATTTTACGGTGTTCTACCGTCGTTCTTTAGGATCAACCACGGATGACTGTCACGCGGTTCGACATCGCGTTCGTGTTCACGTGGGCGACCTGTCAACTCATTTGGCGTCGCGACGTTGCACATCGCCTCTTTTTCACGGGGAGAGATCCGGATGGAGGACCTCCCCCCCCCCCGCCGCGGTATTGCAGGAAAAGGTGGGTATCACCTTTTGCATTAGCAACGAACATTGAGGCTACTGGAACCTTCGGTGCATGTTTGTTCGCTGAACCAAATAATAAGATGATACACTGGTTCGGTATTCGATGATAAACCACCCCTTTGATTCGAAATATTGTCCACTCTTTGAGGAAATATACATGGTGGGTCCAAAAATTTTCCGAGTTAAAGTTAAAACAGTTTCACTTATGATATTCACGCATTTTATTCAGTAGTTATTGAACGTTGTTTTCTTCTGAAGTGAGATATTGTTCATGATAATTATTCAAACAATTGTAATTAAAGAAAATAGTGAAATATGGAATTATGGGTACACTTAGTACTGGTGCCTTTGTTTCACTTTATTGTAATCTGAATCAATTGCTTCAACGGGAAACTACGTGAAAATCGTGCTTGTGTGAAATTTATTGTATTTTGTTTTTTGAAATGTATAGTAATTTTTTGTGACAGAAGGAGATTATTATTGAAGAAATGTGTCCGGTTTTGGGTATTATGTTTCCGAAGAAATTGGTTTCTACAAATTCTTCTACTACATTTTTTACAAACGATATCTAATCGATAAAAATCATGTGACTAATATTTTTCGATTATTTGGAGTAACCTACATTCATAAATAAATGAACACCTTTACTACCAAACAAAGTTACGAAATGAATATAAAAATCAATAATTGATGCATTAACGAATAGGTGGAGGTAAATATATCTTTAATTCGTATTTCACGGCATTACTTTATTTTACGAGCTTCCGTTCACAAATGCTTTAAAATCTATCATTTAAGATGCAAAGGTGCTTTTCGGATTTTGCCGCGGAAATTGTTCGGTCCAAACGTGGAACACGCATTTCTCAGTCTTTACCAAGTCGTTATTCGTGGATCTGGAGACAAATAACTTCGAGGCTGGTGGTAAATTGTCGTTTCGTAATGCACGTTTCTTCCCGCGGACAGCTAAAAGCTCCTTTGTCATATAATACAGAAACTCGACAAAGCTTAGCACCGAGCCACCCAGACAGAGTCCAAAGATTCCCCCGAAAGAGGCTGAAATGTCAGTTAAATCATCTACATCAAACACCACTTTCTTTTAAATTAAGAAATTGCAACTGCACTCTACTTATTATCACTGTGATCAAATTTTACGTAATCGCTACTTTCCACAGACAGACTTAAAAAAAAGATAGATTAGATAGTCATTATCTATTTTATCAAGAACTTCATTAGATTAAAAGTGACATAAAAACTTAACTACCAAAGCAAGCAAAATAACTAGTTTTCTCCACTCTTATAACGTCGATTAAGATGTTATAGCAATGTAGCCATTTTCGCAGATATTACATATCTTTTACTGCACTATGTAAGTGAAGAAATGTGTTAATTTATAACTTTGTATATTTACAAAAGTTTCTCATGCTTATCGATTCAATAGAATAGATGCACGTTTACCGTTGGTAGTTCTAGCCATAATTCAATTTGATTAAATTTCATTTTCAATAGGTGCATAAATATTTGAAATCTAATATAATTATGTCGTCCTAATCACTTCTTCATAGTTGCTTTACGTATTTACAATTTACATTAAGTGCACCAATAAGTAATCCGCCAGTAACGTGTTTTAAATTTCACACATTTTCCCGCCATTTTCTTCTTCAAATATAAGGGTGAGTTTCGAGGAACGAGGTCAAAAATTAGCGAAACTGCAGACATCGGAATTCCCAGGACATAAATATTGAATTTGACAAAGTATAATAGATTTGTTATTTGTACACCTAACGTTTACTTATATAATTACTATGTTCACTATAATTATATAACAATTAGCATTAGTACAATCACTATATTTACTGTTTCTAATCAAATTGTTTCTTTCCAAATTTTTCGATAAGCTACTAAAAACCACTTAAACATGTACATTTTCACCTACTAAAACTGTATCGAAGTAAATGTCTAAAAATCTGAAAAATTATTTCCTTTTAGCAATTACGGCACCACGTCACTGTCTCTCGAGATGTACTTTTATAATTTAAGGGTCAGTAAATAAAACGTGTCCGCAGCTGGTTCTTGGTTCTCCCAAAACGCAATGCGCCGCAACGTCCCGTCCCCGATTCTACAAAACTTTTCTATTTCATTCCAGTGTCTGGCCGAACTTTCCGAACACGTTTCATAGTTTCGTAACGAACTCACAGCCCGATTTCATTTTATTCTCTTAGCCGTACCCTTTACTTATTAGCCATATAAGCTGCGGCGGTGAAACAGTTTCGGACGTGAAGACATAGTTTTTAGTAAGTTTCCCCCTTACCAAGAAGGCTATCCCAGCCGAGGATGGTTTCCTTGCGGTACTCGAGATACGTGCCGTCCCGGAAATATACGTAGAGGAACGAGGTATTCTTTGCATTCAAGCCATGCCTGTAAAGAAACGCTCTCGTGAAATTTCCTGTTCGCGAATGAGAGGGGGGAAGAAGCTTTTCCTCGCGATGGCTCTCGTCGATGTGGAATATCAACGATGATATTTCGTTTTAAAACTAACGCACTGCAGTGTATTTATATCTTGGAATGGAACATTCCAACTTTTATTAGTATGTTTAAACGCAATGTTGCAGTGGTCACTACTTTGAAGATGAAAAATGTTTAACAAGGGAACTTCGTTGAACCGAAAATTCCAATTTCTTGGAAACTTTGCAGGTTTGTAGGAGTTCCCAATAGAAGTATCGGGAAATTTTTGTTTTTGGTCCTTTTGGTTGTTTGGGATGGAAACATTTCCTAAGGGTTAACGCGTGTTTCCCTATTTTTTGGTATACCTTGAAAACTGTAGTAGCTATGAAAAAATTGTAAATATGAAAATTGAATGGCTTTTTATCCTCTATAAAACCGTGCAATTAAATTGTTAAAAATCTGTTTATTTATTTATTTAAACAAATTTTTGATAATTTCATTAGTCTTGTAGAGCATAAAAATCCATTACATTATCATCCTAATAATTTTTTATATTTGCTAAAAGTTTTAGAAATATACAAAAAATAGGAAAATACATATTACCTTTGAGAGAAGTAGCAAAAAAAAAAACATTTTCTTGATGCTTCTATTGTGGTCCCCTACATATCTATAAAGTTTTAAAGAGATCGAAATTTTCTGGTTTCGAATGATACCTTGTAATATGAATAGAAAAGACAGTATGATGTATCAATGAAAATATTGGATTGTAAACTAATTACTATTAACCTTGAAGTTGAGAATTCTACTTTTTATAACAGTAAACTTGGCGGTTACTATTTAATGTTACATAATATCCTAAAATTGTTATGGTAGGTAATAGATTAATAGTTCGACTTATGCCATTTTAATTTGTTTATCAATCTGAATTATTTCAAATTTTTTAAATTATGTAAAACTTACGTTAATTCGCTGTCATAGCCTATGTCATCGGTTCGTATCGATTCACCGACTACGTCGAACGTCTCGTCGTTGCATTGCGGTAGACATTTGCAATCATTTATATGGGATAGTTGAACTCGCGATAGGCTTCCTGTTTAACATACTCACAGATTGTCATAATATTATATTTGATATACGTATATCCATACTACATTTAATATTGAAAATTCATGTTCTCTTAGAGGAAAGATATAAAAAATGTTAAAAGGAAGACTGAAATTATTTCAGGTCAATATAGAAAGCGATGTTATGAAATGAAAATATTTTAACAAATATTAAATATATTAGTATAAGATTGTTTTATTAATACTAATTGTAGCGTTTTATTTTTTCGAATATAAAATCGTTGGCGTAAGTCATGAGTAATTCGCATTTAGGTCTAAAATTGAACGTTTAAAATTAGGAAGTTGAAATATGACGAGAAGTCTAATAAATTAAGAAATTTCGTATTAATATTCGAGGAAATTAATATTTCTGTATACAACAACGTTACTTCGTTCATTATTTACTCACTTCTGCGAGCCAGAATGCAATCCACATCTGTTAAGTAGCAGGTACGCGTGTCTGGATCTTTCAACAAAAAGGTAAATGCTCGTACAAACTCGTGGTATGAATTTATAAGTGCTAGCACGATAACAAAACTAAGTTTTGAAGCTGATGAATAAATTACTAATAATGCTCCCTCAAAACATTATTCCTTATTTTTTAGTGTCTTTTTACTTAAACTTTGTGTACTTCACAGTTTGAGTTTAAAAAAACTAATCTTGCACCATAAAATAAGTTGAATTTATTGATTTTTTAATAAAATCGTCGAATACTTTACATTAATACATTATGTGTTCAGAATTTACAGAAATTATGCACTACAAAACAAGTATTTTATTATACTAGCTGAAGAATAAATTTACGTGAACTTTATTTTATAATCGAATAAGGTAACTTGAAAACCTTTAAATTCATATCTTTTCGATATAGAATTAAATTGTTTTAATTCCTGTTTTGTAATTTTTAATTTTCGAATCAAAAGAAATCACTTACGAATGTATAAGAAGTTTGAAAGTATTATGCGCGTAAATATATCAAAGAATATAATAGAAGGAATATCTGTATTTAAAATTAAAATTAACAAATGAAACGGTGCAACAAGCAGTACCAGAGACTATCAGAATATTCTTAATTTTCAAAGCCACAGTATCGCCCAGGGAGTCACTCACGTTCATCAGGAAAGAAAAATGGTAGGCAACCACAGGACCCGTAAATATTTTGCTGAATGCATTCCGAGATACACGTTTGGTAGCTGTATTTCCGTTCCCCGGGGCTCTGGGAAGTTTTGTTTAGAAACAAACAAAAATTATTTCCGTGGAATTAAGCTCACGATAGGGAGGGGGGGGAGTGTGGTTGAGATAGCGTTAGTAGGATCTGTATACCTCACCGTCGAACAAACACATCCTTTTGCGCAGCGGTATATTGCGGATGTCGTTCGAGCTTCGTATTTTCGTTCCAGAAAGTGTCAGCACCATTACGTGGCCGGGGATCACGGTGGCGGTTTGCGCACCGACATCCGGATAGTCTATCGGATCGTGTATCAGCACGGTCCCACCCACGAACTGTCTAACCGAGCTTTTATAGTTTTCACCGTCGATGTTCAGGGCTACTGATAAACCAATGTCACGACCTGTACCTGGTACACGCTGTAACATTTTATTACCATTTAAGTCCTGTGCATCCATAGTAATAGAGTATTGGATCTGTGTGATTCTTTGAGATTCTACGATATTCTACGATATCTTACGATATCTCACGATAACCTACGATATCCTACAGTATTGTACGGTCTCTTATGGTATCGTATGCTTTCTTATGATGTTCTACGGTATCCTATGGTAATGTATGATATCGTGTGATAACGTATGGCATCTTGTGGTATTGTGTGGTATCGTATGGCATCGGATAATAACCTATGATTATCCCATGAGAACCCTACAATAACCCTACGATAATGCTACGATAATCCTACGATAATCTACGATATTCTTAGATATTCTTTAATATTCTTTGACATTATGTCAACAGTATTCGGTGTCTCCTCATAGAGGTGAATTTCAAATAGCATTGTTACGCATTATATCTCTACTTTCAGTAAATAATAAAAAAATCAAGAAAAATTAAGTATCTTAGTTAAAATGAAATTGGAGACATCATGATAAAATTATTTCAACGCATTTTATGCAATAATGATTTGTACGAGAAATCTGTATATATAATTATTAAATGACAAGAAATGGGTAAACAAAAAATTTGTTTCGATGTTACCAGAATTTCATCGACACCTGGCAGATATTCTGATGAATTATCCGGTTGCAGATTTTCCTCGTCGGTCGTTGTTATGTTCGCCAACCACGAGTCGTCATTGCTGGACAAAGGTTTAAAATACTAGCTCAATCATTAAATTTAAACATTCAAAAGGTTAAAACAAAAAATTAATCAGATGCACAAGGCCTCCCACTATTTATTACTTTTGTTTTATTTAATTTTAGAAGGAATTCTTTAGAAAAAATTTCCTACTTAGTCCGTAATATTTTTCGAGGTTATATTTATTCATATCTAATTTATATCCATGTTTCTTCTAATTAAATGTGCCAAAAAAATGATGTTCAGGCAGATAATTTAAGCTTGCATCTATTTTAATTTCTAAGACCAGAAAAAACAACTCCACTTTAACAAATAGATTTTTGATTATAGTCTGAGTTGTGTATAATTCATAAATTAATACTAAAGGGAATAGTGTAAATTTTCTTAAAATATAAACAAGCTGAATTCATTTGAATAAAAATCGATATAAAATGATTTAGGGAACTATTTGAATTTAGAAATCGGCAATTCGATAACTTTATCCTCGACTAAAGGCAGTTAAAGTTTGCAAATTACTTGTAATTGTTGGTAAGATCATAATGGTAATTAAATCCGCAACAGAATCCCTCGTTCGCTTTCACGGTTTTAAATATTTTATTGCAGTCATAGATCTGACCGAGCCAGGCGCACCTCGCCAATAATAAATTGCAAGGATGCATTAGCTGCAACAGAGAAAATTGCGCTACAGATATCTGTTATAATTAATGAGATTGCAGATTTCAAGTATTCATAGCGAATATCAATATACATATTTTACGGTTTCATATAACAAAGTTTTTACGTTATTACCAGCTTAATGGAGGCTTTCATGAAGCCAATGTATTTCTGATTGTCTGTACTCTTCGAAAATCAATCAATACATAATTCACTAGTTTTTAAACAACATAACAGTATAGTTTTAACCACAAATATCTTCACGACTTCTTGCTCATAATATCTTTGGAAGAAATATTTTCCTGCTATACTTCATAAAAATCGAATTGTTGCGAAATTGTTTTTAGTAACACTAGAACTACCAAAGCAATTAAAACGACTGGTTCGTAAACTGTTATTAAAATGGTTGTTGTAACAATTATTAAAATGGCATAACAATGTGTATATTTTATGACTTTTCATATGAATGAAGAAGTTTGTTAATTTATCGATTTGCATATTTTTAACAAGTCATCCTTTTTACCAACGTAATAGAAATAAAAATACTTTTATCTTCAGTAGTTCTAGTTATAATTAAAGATGGTATCAAAATCTGTGATTAATTGTAATTCCTTTTTTCTAAATATTGGTGAATCCTTTCATTACAAATCTTTATTTACATTTCTGACTTTTCTTTTCACAATTCACCTTTTCCTTTCCAAATTTCCTCTTCTCTAACCTCTTTTCTATTGTTGTAATAATATTACATTCTAGCAACAAAGTAGAATTATTGTTATTAACATATTGAAATTTAATTCGACAGTATAAACCCTTCATTTTCCAAGAAAAAAATACCGAATTGGATAAAAAAAGTGGATTCCTTATTGGCATATTTAGCACAATGTTACGTACATAAACGATTTATTAATGTAATAAGAAATATCTATTTGTCACCTCGAACATAAGTTTTTCGACCGAGTAACCAAGGGTGTCAAGGGCCGAGGACGCTGTTGCGTTATCGATCTCGATTTTATCTGGCCGTATCAGTTTCATCAGGGAAGAGAATAGCTTATTGCTCATATTGATGTCGAATCCATTCGTCAACCTATTAGAACAAATTGTTTCAGGGAATTATACACCGCGGGTTATAATTATCGCGTGTATTGTTACGGGCTGAGTCAATTTATACCGACTGCGGGAATACATTAGCAGTAACAAGTGTTTGACATTGAATGTACTGCGGCACTTTCTGTATTATTATTAATTCTGATAGGCCCTAGCACACTGATCAATGTGTATCTGAAAGTTTGACCTGGGCAGACAGATAAATTAATAGGGGAAACGATATTGATTCAATGGCGGATGGAATTGGATTCACAAGGGAATTTCGGTAATCCCAAAATTCCGATTTCAATACAATAGAAGTATCAGGACATTTTGGTTTTTACAGTTTATAGGTCTTTCTAAGTGAAAACTCCCCTTAATGTGCGTTTCCTATTTTCCTGTATATCGCGATGACTATAGGAAATATAAAAATATTATTGCAATGAAAATGTAATGGATTCGTATTGTATAAAACTGTCCAATGAGACAGTTAAAAATTTGCTGTGTAAATAAATAAATAAATCAATGAACAGGTTTTTAGCATTTTCATTATACAGTTTTATAGAGGATAAGAAACCGTCTTTTCTTTAGAACAATTTTTTTATGTTTGGTATAGTTTTCAAGATATACAGGAAAAGAAAAAACGTACATATTAACCCTTAAGGGGTTTCTTCACCCTAAAAAAACAAAAAACATCAAAAAACAAAAATCACCCGATACTTCTTTTGAAACCCCCTTCAAACCTGTAGTCTACTTTTAATTCAATTGGCATACTGAGTTTCAGAATTTGAATTTATTCGCAAAATTTGAATTTTAATAATATTCGTAACTGCATTTTCACGAACGATATAGGTGAACGATGAAATGAACAGTGGCGTCATAACTAGTCTTTCAGGCAATAAGAAAAATAAAAATTAAATTTAGTAGCTTTTTATATCCTTAAAGTATTTCAGAGAGTTGACTTCAGAGAAATTCAACGAAATTGCAATTATATTCATTTTATATAACGTATTTTAATTTCTCTATGGAATAAAAACAAGGAAAATAACTTTATATAATTTGTAGAACATCCACGTGCAAAATTTTCACCGTTACGCGTATTAATTTCGAGATTTTAAAAAGTTTTAATTATAGAATCACGGTGTACGCGTGTCATAAAAGCAACTTTGGCTCCGTGAAGAATCGAGTTAAAATGTTTTTGACATCAAATCAACTCCCCGAACTGATAAAGGCAATAAATGGCACACAACACTATTTCAGGATTACTGACGTATGAAACCCCGAATTACAATGATAGAAAAAATATAAGTTTAAATAATTGTCTTCTGATTTGAACAGTTAGAGACACATAGGGGAAACGGTATTTCAAAAATATATGGTTAAAGAATAGGACTGTATTCCGTTTTTCTTATTTGAAGTTCAAATACATTCTAATTTTATGATTCTTAAAATACAGATAATCGAATATCAAAAATAACATATTAATTCTTAGTTACAAGAAATTAACTGTCATCTACCTTGGTATTTTATCTAATGCATACTATTGACTTCATATAGTTTGACAAATGATAACTGCTTAGTTATTAGAATTTTATTTACAAGAAATTTTAAATTACTAAGTAAAAATTACTTACAAGAAATTTTGGATAACCAAGAAAAAAAACTGAGAATAATTCAGCATTATAAAACGTCCTATACCAAAAAGGAGATATATTTAAATAAATGAATTAGAATGAATTAATGAAGTATGGATCTTTGTTTCATTGTCGACTCGAAATTATAACTTACAATTTTCTCGCAACCATATCCGCGTGTGGTTTATACACTTTATTGTTATTACAGATCGTGATCCCCGGGAACTGTAAATCCTTGATCGGATTCGACGTGTCGATGATCGTCACAGTGGGGTTATTCGAGAAATGTTCCCATAAACGTAACATCAGTAGCAAACAAAAACCAATGGCTGCCAAGCATACCTGCCCAGAAAAGGTATAAGTATCACCAACAATTTTGTTGAAAAAAAGAAAGTATAATACAATTTTCACCTACTGCGAGCCAAACTGCTCTGTCCAATCTAGTCTTGCCTGTCACGATGTAACGAAACCCATGCAACCCCGTGTTTTCGCAATAAACGCGGAAAGATCTTTCTAAAGTTTGTACGATACTGGATCGACCTAACAACATAATTTTTAAAGATCCTTAGTAGACTGAATTATTTATTGTTATATCTCAATATGTAAATAAAGTTTAAATAACAATAATACGTTAATATCGTCGTTTTGCTAAAGAGTGATACATTTAATAAAATCGTTAATTTTGTGATATCTGCAAAAATTAATTGTAGAAGTGAGCTATTGTTATCTGAGAAATAAAAATATATTTTTATCATAAAATAATAGTATTTAACATGAACAATGTTACAATTCAAAATAGGGCTGTTTTAAACTCTGTTTTAAAAGTGAACAATATACATAAACAATACTCTGTTAGAGACCTTCAGAACTCAAAGACTACTTGCTAAATTGTAAAACTTTTCATGGCTTAACGGTTGCATAATTAACTACTTGCGCTAGCAGCCAGATCACAAATTTGTGTAATTTCGACGTGAGTGGCACGTCTTTCGAGCGCAAGAGATTAATAATTTCCTATCACGACAAATTTCGAACCGATTTCCTAAATTTAAATCATTAACTTTTCTTAGTTTCGTCACTTGTCTAGTAAATTGACGATACTAATTAAAACACATACTGTATATAGTTATATTAAACACAGTGAATACGATATTCATAATAAACCGCGGATGTTCATGCATTTACAGCATTCCGTAACATGGAAAGTGTAATAAAATAAAAATTGTAATATAGTATATTATTATTTATGTGTTACTACTAATGTAGTGAAGCCTCTAGTAAAGTAAAACTAACATTATAATCTTCAAATATCCGTATCCAAAATTATGAATTTGCATAAACTTCTGCAGTCTACCAATGAAATTAGGAGAGTGGAGTAAACACGAACGCGGAGTAATCCCGAACGCAATGGTCACGGTGTGTTAGAAAACGAAAACTGATCTTCTCCCTCCATTAGCTGACAGTTTAGCTCGCATCCAGTGCTGGGAAGAAAATAATAAAGAGAGGCCGAGCACGCCGTTCAAAATAAACAAAATTTATTATTTTCATCGTTTATCAAGTAACATTTTGCCCATTTCCAAATGCATGTAGTTACTGTTGCATTAATGATACAGTTTCGGATTTATTCAAGTTGAAATAAGCACATCTTAAACAACATTTTATGACCAACGTGTTATCTGTTGACTGATTTTAATCTCTACAAAAATTTTGTTTTATTTTTTGACGTCGTGTGGTACTGGCGAACAAGCTGGATAGGGGCTACTGAAGATTGGATCAAGCGTTACATATGTAACTTATGGGCAAGTGAAAAATGCAGCAGAGGTGAAAGCACATCCAGAGACTTTCTGTGCGACCTATATGATAATTAGTTTTTATTAGCACTCTGTTCGTGATAACCCCATACAAGGGTTTCGTTTTTTGACTAAAAAGTTGTTTTTTATAAGTTTTCCAAAATTGGATATTGTAGTTTGTAGATGAATAGTTTAAGTATCATTATAAGTAATGAACAAATTCATTTCTCACTCAGCTTTCGTTCTTTGTTTTTTTTTGCTTAGGTGTTCGTAATTACCCCAATCTCCTTTATAATCCATACGAGGATTCTCTTAAGTAAATTGTCGGTCACTTACCAAGCCTTCCCCGTTTCTTAGACAAGCTATAATGGTTCCGCATTACAGTTTTCATTCTGATTTTTCTACGTCTAACCTGATCCGACACCTGATACGAACGTTCGACCGAACTGACCGACGCGAAATCTATCAAACGAATGAACATGTCACAGCCCACGGACATGTCCGGAAACATTACCCAGTTACATCGGACGCCGCCTTGTAATTCCATTTTCTAGCGATTCCGTCCGCTGAATTCCCGGAAACCCCATTATTAGGCATTTGGCGACCCTCAATCCGTAACCACTTAGATAAATGATCCCGCGAGTAAGTGGCCGGAAAAATAACAGATCACCCTTCCGATCGATCGATCCTTCTCCATGGTCAACAGTAATGTTGTGGGCCATAAAAGTCAACGTAATAATGCACTCACTTCGATCAATTGGGGAACGAAAAAAAATGTCTTATTTACTCTTTTTGAAAGTTTGTCAGGTTGTTATACCATAACTGTAATGAATAGATTACGAAAGTTCATGCAAAGTTACCATTTTTCGTACCATCATATACAGGGTATATCAGTTGAATGGGATCACCTAAATATCTGCTTTATTTACTGCTGTATGAAGAATGTTTTCAAGACACGGTTGAACTGTTTTAAGGGGCACATGTAACGGTGGAAAGAATTTTTTCTCGTGATCATCTTTTTACGAGAATTCAAGGCTATTGGTATTTTTTAAAATGAAATCCTATTTTTTGTTTCTTGATGGTCTGTTAGGGTGTAAGAGATAAGAAAAATCAATTCAATGGCCTTATTGCCACAACGTTTTGATCATTTAATCTCGAGATATTTGTGTCTGAAGATAATTAAAATTTCATAACGATTCTCGTGGTACATCGATTCATACTTCACACTTATGTATCCCAATGTAAACATTATCTGCGCGTGAATCTTCAGGAAGTTTTAGTTATTCTCAGACGCAAATATCTCGAGATTACATTATTGAAACGCTGTGGCTGTTAAGGTCGTTGAATTTGTTTTTTTTTTATGGTGTATAAGGATATCGTAAACAAAGCATAAGATTCCATTTTGAAAATACCGATGACCTTGAAATGTCGTAAAGAAATGACCCTGAGAAAAAATTATTTCTACCGTTAAATGTGCCCCTTGAAGTAGTTCAACTCTGTCCTGAGAAGTTTTTTCATACAATAATATTTATGAGTTCATCGAAGTGGTTATGTTACGAGATTCACATTGTACAACAGAGTTGGGCAAAATGTAATCTAATTACAAAATCTGAATTACAATTACATTGCAATTTGGATATAGTTAATGACAATGTAATTGTAATTGTAATTGTCTTGTAGTTACATTGCAATTACATTATAACTGTGATTTGGATTTTGTAATTAGATTACATTTTGCTCAACTCTGCTGTACAACAATTAAAATTGGAAGTTTTATTAAGTTGTACCATATCAAATTGTTGTTTCTATGGTTCAGAACAGAAACGTGGTATTTTTCAGGAAATCATTTTTATGCAATCGGTATACGTATCATTAAGAGGAATAAATTTTTCTCTGAACGAAATTTTAAGAAGTATATCTCATTTTGATAAAAATTGGTGTTGTAAGATTCTATACATTTCTCAGAGACTGCAATTACAGATTTCCAACCAGATGGTGAATGCTATAAATGAGGCACAATGTTAATAATTTAATTCAACTGACTTTGCAATGGCTCAATTTGAATTTCAATTTGAAAGGTAACCGAATTTATTGTTTAGATACCATATTGTTTATTTTTGTAGCATAATTAAACAATCACGAAAAGAATTAAATAATCAAGGGAAATCGAGAAACAACAATACTGTAACAACTTCTAACTAGCAGAAGAACCAATGTAGATAATATTTAATTCACGAATCATAGTTGATTATCACCAATTACATGTCGTATAACCGAATATAACAATTAAAATTTTTCAGAATATTATTTCCTGTAGTAGGGGTTTAGCATGTTAATATTAGGTGTACCAATAAGTGATTCACTATTTTTTTACTGAATTTGCAGTAGAATTTAAATTCAGTATGCCGTCCGCCCTTTTTTTTCATAAAAAAACAGTGTAGGTTGCTGGGAAACAATAACAAATATTGTTAAGGGGAGATATGTTTTTATTTTCTTCTAAAGAAATATTTAATTCCTTAAAGAATAATGGATTATCCATTGGTACACCTAATAACAATACATAAATAATATTACAATTTATTAGAATTGTTAAGAATTGTAAGAATTTATAAGAATTGTTATTGACTTTTTCAGTTTAGGAGTTACTATAAATGCATAAATATCCGCAGTCTAGTTATGAAGAATTCGTAATTAATACTGTCGTGTTTGTTGTACTGCCACTATGTTATTTAATATATATTGCAATGATAGACAATATATGCATACGCGAACGACAAAAATATTTCAATAAAAAGTTTATTTGCGTTTGTTCAGGTGGTAGTAAATAACGTATCTCTGTTTGTCGGGACCCCAAATGCAAATATCACGGTTTTTATTTTATATTCTCCACTGTTTTCTACGACTGTTTCTTATTGATTTGTACTTTCAATTTTCAATTCAATTTTCTGTTATCAAGAGTATTTCCAGTACTGGAAGTGATAATGATAGTTCTTAACGTTACTTTATTTTTCAATTGTTTCAAAATAATTTAAGAAGTATAATTATTTGACCTTGTACGAAGCCTTGAGAGAAGTAAATTGTAATCTTATAAAGGACAAGAATTTACGAGTCTAAGTGTTACATCAAATATAATGTCATTTCTAAAAAGTGTTTTTCTATTGGTTTAAAATTCTTTACTGGATTAGTATAATTGTAATTTTATACATTTTTCGTTATAGGGTAATCGACATCCATGTCAGGTGCATTTACATTTCATTATCAAAGCAAAAAATATATTTACGCTGCACTTACAACGTATGTAATAAATGCTAATACAAATTTAACTCTGTTTTCTCTGCGATTAATTTTATTCTAATCGTCAAACTTAATCTGTATTAAAATATTACAATTTAATATTTCCCATTGATTGATTGTCTTATTCATTCTTTACTGACGAAAAATAAGAGAAAATTGAATCATTGACAAATCCCATCTCCAACATAATTAATTTTAATACATACGTAAGAACACACATTTCACTAAAATGTTCCATCATACGTTCACTTTTACGAGTATAGAAATAAATTAAAAATTCACAACCATTCGTCCTCCATTACCCTCTCTTTTATAATACAGGGCCCGGCCGAATAATACGTAAAATCGAGCACCACGTGATTTCTTGTGGAAAAATAAGATAAAAATATAGAACAAGTTTTTGTCATACTCGATTTAGTTTTCGAGAAAATCGAATTCGAAAATTCATTTAATCCGCGTTATTCAAGATAGTAAGTAGAAACGGAATGCAATGATCAGACGCGATAGCAAAGTCCAGTATCCAGCAGATATTCTAGATTGAGTTTCTCGAAAACTAAGCCGAAAATTACAAAATTTTACTGTATATATTATTCTTGTTTTTTCATAAGGAGTCACGTGGTATCCGCTTTTACATATTTTTCGGTCAAACCCTGCTTATAGTGTGCGGCCGAAAGAATGGCATAAACGGGCAGGAGGTATGATTCCTTGCGCTAAAACAAATCAAAAGTGCACAATAAATTTTTTTTCTCCTAGACTTTGTTTCTGAGATAATTAAGAGGTGAAAATATACTGGACGTACGTGCAATTGATTAGGACTGGCTAACGCGTCTGGTCATTGCATTCAGTTTCTACTAATGGTTAGCACGAATACTCGCGATATGCATGGTGTTCATAAAAATGTAAGACATTTTCACAGGGTGAATTCTAGATGCAAAATTAAGATAGAAATACGGAATGGCGAAGTTGCGTTCGAGGCTTCATTTCCGAGTTATTAATTATTGCATACAGGCACAATACTCGTGAAGTATGCACATACGTCTAGCGCAGTGGATTATACTACTTGAATAGTCGAATCCCAACTGATAGATGGGATCCATCGACGACCCAGTTAAATTTAATTAATGATATGATATGATGACGTATAGACGGCAAAATTTCATGCAAACTTGTAGTTATAAATACTAATAATATAAAAATTAAAATTGGACACAACCTTCTGCCATCTACTAAGGGCTTCTGTGTGGTAATAGTAAGTCACAGATGGTATTTAAATTTCATTAAAACTGTTATTTCAATGCATTTTGAAGGTTAGGGAATGCTTTAAATGCAAAAACATCTAACTATATAAAAAGATATGAATGAAAACAACTCGTGAAAAAATTAAAGCCTTTTAAGTAGAATAATCCATTGCGGTCAGACATATTTTACGCGTATTTCATCTGTATCTACAACAATTAATAACTCTGAAACGAAGGTTCGAACGTGATTTCATCATTCTTGATTTCAGTTTTAGTTTGACATGTACAATCCACCCTATGAAAGTGTCCGACATGTGTATTAACACCTAGCATATTCATAAATCACATCAGAAGATTATATTCAAATGGCTACATCGAAAGTATTGTATTCAACAGCATTAAATTACTGTATTCTCCAGTCAATTGAATAACATACTACCACGTTCTCAATGAATAAAAAATATGAGTAGTTCAAACAATAGAACTCTCGATTTCCAAAAATACCTAGACCAATATTTCGAGTTACATTATTAATACTGAAAGTAGGGTGAATACCACCCAGTATATTAGTCTCAACAATTTTTAGAGTATTAATATTAATACTTTGTCGTCAAATTACGAAATATTTAGAAATTGTAGTACCAATAGAACATGTGGCATACAAGAAAACCCGGGCCTAGCTAAGGAAGACAACGGATCCATGTTACTACTCGTTAAATTCAACACGTATACAACAATCGTCTTACAGCATGACTGGGGACCGGAGGAATAAAAAAAGAAGCATGCAATGACTCACTCGACGATAGAAGGGCTCCGTATAAGACTTGAAGAATCTGAAAAAAAGAAACGAAGTTTGTTACAACCTCTTCTCAAAACTATATCCATTGAATAACGTAAATAATAAAATATAAAAATATTTACAATGTTTGCTGGTGGAGCTTCGCCAGAGGACATCTTCTGCAGTGTTTAATATTACAAAATGTGAAAAATCTAAAAAAAAAACAAGCAAAATTTG